CTCGGCGCTCAATGAGTAAGGATCACAATCTGCTGCATATGCATGAGGGGACCATGAGACCGTGACTCGGGACTACCCGAGATGCGCCTGATTAAAAATTCTTCGGGCTTGAAGACTTGAGAGCCCCCTCATTTCCTCACAGATACAGAGAAAGTTTTCAAAGGCTCATCTGAGGCGAACATTGTGGGGATATCGGGCGAAGACGACCTAACTTGGAGCTTGTGATCAGGCGTCTTCTGGAGGCAGCCCAATGCCAGGAGGGGTCCTCGGTCTGCTCCACTAGAAGACGAAGGGGGCGTCTCCCCGGCTTCCTGCGGCGTCGGTGGCGAGCTGAGGTGGAGGCAGGCTGCGGCAGCGAAGGCGACAGTGGCGGCGGCGCCATGGCAGGGCTTGCAGGTACCGTGGCGTCGGCCCCCTGGGGACGGGATGAGAGGCCCTCAGTGCGGCGGCGCCGCCATGTTGTCCCTTCGGGGTCACCTTAAGGCGTCGCCCGGTCCCTTTCTGGGGTTTTCCTTCCGCGCACCCAGGGGGCCACCCCTGTCCGGTGTCACGTGATTGCCCTGTGTGGCCCCAGCCCGGACCTTGGGGGTCCTTCCGCGGCCCGAGGGCGAGTCACCAGACCCCTGGGTCTCGTTCTGGCCTCCAAGGTCAGTGCTCGCCTGTCTGTTCCCGGGACGGGACAGGCAGAGTCGGGGAGCGCAGGGCCGAGGGGCGCGACTACCACCTCTTCGGCCCAGGGGCCCATAGCAGGGGGCCCAGCTTCTGAGAGTCCTATTACTCTGTCCCCGCCACTTCAGTAGCATTTTTAAAATCAGAAGGGGCGTGGGTGAGAGGGGCGAAAGGGGGCCTCCCGCCCCAGGCACCCGCTTTGGTGTCTAAGGTGATGGGGTAATAGGTTGACGCTCTGCTTTGAGTCGCGGGTGTTTCTTACTCTCTCATAACTTTACATCAAGCCTGGACACCCGTTTCCTTTCCTCCAGTATATATGGGGAGTGGCCCTCAAGGGCAGCTGGAGGAACGGAATGCCTGGCACACCAGTGGCCTAGAAAGAATGGGGGATGGGGAACAGTTCTTTTTCCTTACCCCTTCCAAACCTTCTGTATATTCCTTCCAGGCCTCCGTGTCCCTTTTCAATGCTAAATGTTGGGACAGACTGGGGTCTGTCCTAGGGAGGAAATGATCTTTCTGTTTATAGGTTCGGATCGTGTTTTATCCCTTTCAGGGAGCTGGTGTGCTGGGAACAGCTTCTGTTTGCCCTGCCCGACATGGTCCCACCATCCCCTCAGCCTTCTGGACAGCAACACCAAAGCCAGGACAAAAAAAAAAAAAAAGTTCCAGCTTAAGTGCTAATGCCAAGTGTTAGATCTTGTTTGTTTGTTTGTTTTAAATCAGAGACTACTGTCAAGCAAATCTGTTAAAAGATTCAGAGCCCTGGTCAGTTTCCTGTGACCAGATCAATTCCGGATCTGTAATTGGTCTTGTTAGAATTGCTGCCCAAAACAGTGTAGCCTTTTATCTGTAATATGTTGTTTCAAAGAGGAATCTGGAAGTCTGGGTTTGGCTGTCTTTTTTTGTTCTCTTATCTTTGAAACATATGCATTCCATTTCAAGCCTGTCACTGTGTGCTATACCAAGGACCATGTGTTGCCTGCCTCTTTGACTTCCTGTTATGGGAATGCTGAGGAATCTGGATCCTGCTGGGGTATGGGCCCTGTTGGGAGGGAGAAGAGGTGGAGGGGAGGGTGAACAGGATCATTCCCAGAGAAGATGGTGACATGTCTCTGGGGCATACAGAGGAAGTCAGAGATCACCAGGGAAAAAGAGACTGTTGTTAGACTAATGTTTTTTGTGTTGTGTGCGCGTTTGTGCACGTTTAAATCTCTGGGGGTAAAACTAACTGCAGATTCAGAATCTCACTTTAGGGTGCTGGCTCCTGAGTAGATACAAGTTTGAAAATAGATACGTAGCAAATGGCTCACAGCAAACCTGCTCCCTCATCCAATGCAGGTGTAAAAAGCTGTCGCTGTCCTGCAGCTGAAGCTTAAGAAGCTTGTCCCCCCACCTCTTCCTTCCGTCACAATCCAAATACTCCACAGATAGAGATAGCAGTGTCACATAGCACCCCACACCTCTGAAAGTCATGGTACCTAGCCCCCCCCACCCCCCCTTGGAGCTTAACTGGTTAGGCTGAGACACTAACATCCTTCTTGGGGCATTAGTGCCAAGAGTCTTGCCTTTCCAAAGCCATTCCAATCCCCTCACAACTCATCTGCTATATCCTTGGTTTTACAGGGGCAAAGCCTTTTGGGGGTGGTAGAGACAGTTTAGGAAAAAGGGAGGCCTGTGGACTAAGGGCTTACAATAAAATTCTAGTCATTTTTAACTTCTGCCATTGCTCTCTATCAGAATAAAATGTTTTAATGGTATTGCTTCTGGAAAAATTTTTATAAACAAGGTGTGTTTGGACCAGACTTCTAGGCACCACACAGGAATAGAAAGTGGACGCATTCCTTCTGCCTTCTCCAGTGGGTTGTTTGCTGCCAGAACATGAGGGTTTGGGCATGAAGGATGAAAGTGGGGGAGTGGACACTGCACACTCAAGCCCACCCATGTGAATGCAGGCCACCAGGACAGCCCTTGCTTGGAAGTCTGTCATCTCACCATGCCACTTTGATGGATGGATGGAGAAGCCCCACAGATGGGCTTTGCCAAGATTATCTGGAAAGCCCTGGGGCTGCCAGCAGCCTCCTGCCTTTTAAAGGGGGTACAGGAAACTAAGGGGAGCATGCTCTGTCCAGAACAGCCAGACCCTTCCATGCCTGTCTGTCTGAACTCAGCCACCTTATAACTGGGCTGAGGTTAGAGCATGTGGGACAGTGGGGCTGTGGGCATACCCCTGAAGGCTCCGAGGTGAGGCAGTCTTCATTGAGAACACATGTGGAAATGTTCACGGTTCTGTGGGCTTAGTGTGGAAAACCACAGCAACTCCCAGTCTTGAGGCCTGCCATGAAATGGCTTCAGAAGGGAAGTGTGGGCATTGCCTGCTGATGAGTCACCCTGGGGCAAGAGGAGACCCACCTCACCTTCAGGCCAAAGTAGAAGCTGGAGCCACCCAGCATAAGGAAGATGGGAGTCTCTGATTACACATCTCCACCCCAGTCCCCATGGGTCCTGATGGCCACTTTGATGGCAGTGTTTCTAGTATCCTGGAGTTCACTGGGGTCTTAGCACTTTTATAGAGGGGAACTGAAGGTGGGGGGTAGGAGATGACCTAGCCAGTTTCCCTGGGCTGATTGATGACAAAGCCCAGTACCAGAACTGAGGTCTGTACCCTCTACCCCCATAATTCTCTGATGTTGTACTAAAGATATAGGCGCCTCTAGAGGCGCTGGCAGTGGGGTTTAGAAACTTAAGGGGTTGCTTAGAGGAGGGGAAGTATCAGGCTCAGGGGGCAAGGTGCTTTGTGCTCCAGAAGTGTTTGCAGCAACTGTGACTAAGGGATTTGAGGAAGTGGCAGAGAGATTTATGGCCCTCCAAATCCTCCCTTGGTGTTGACCCAGGAACAGGTGTGTAGTGACAGGGACACATTAAGCCAGAGACGAGCCTGAACAGGCGGCAGGGCCATTTGGTGAGGCAGTCAGCTAACCCTGTGAAAGGAGTCCTGACTCAAGAGAGTGAAAGAGGGGAGAAAGAAGTCAGGAGCTGAACAGCCAGCCCACCCGCCCACCTACCCTGACATGGCAGGAGAGAGCCCAGGGCCAGGGACCTGGTAAGCACCCCTAAGAATATTGAGGCTAATGCCAGAAGTGGAGAACCCACTAATGGGGAGAGCTAGAGAGAGGTTCCTGGGTGTCAGGGAGGAGACCTGGAGAGTAGTAAGGCAGGGCAGAATGCCCTTGTCGTGGTCCTGGTAGGGGTTATAGGGCCTGGAGGGATAAGCTGGGCAGGGGAGGCACCACACCACACCTCTTATCCGATACTCATTATCAGCCAGTGCCCACCCTGCCCAGTGCTCATTTCCTTGGGGCTCCTAGATGGAGCTAAAGCTCTGTGTTCTGAAGTCCTGAATCACTTCCTTGGTCTATAGTACCCCATCGTGAGGGTTATTCCCACCTTTCTTACCTCCTCCCATCTTTCCTGCCAAGGTCCCGTGTTCCAGGACAAGTGAAGGCATCCACCCGCTCTGGGGAGGGTAAGTGGTCTTTTATTCTGAGACCACAAAAGATGTAGACGTTTCTTTTTGGGGTGGGGAAGCGTTCCTTTATCTCTCAGAACAGTGTTAAGTGAAGATGGAACTGGGTGTGTGAGGGTCCCAGCTTATTCCCCCTTTGTTCCCCCACCCCAACAATGGTGCACCAGCCCAGTCTTAAGAAGTATGTGTTGAAGCCGCAAATGAAGTCACAAGAGACAGCTTTTTGGTGCACCTCCACCACCCCGCAGGGTCCTGGGACACGGTGCGAGATGGGGGAGGTACTGGTTTTTTATTTTTTTGTAGAGGTGGTCCCTGTCCTCCAGGAGCTTACAATCTAGCTGGGGAGACACAACTAATGCACACTTATACAATCAGTACAATTAGCGATTACCACAATATTGACCACAACTGCGTGAGACCAGGGAAAGCAAGATCAGTGAGGGGCTGGGGGCTTGGAGAAGGTGTTTTAGTGAAGATGGGATCATTTACTGGTTGAATAGGTCCAAATTGAGTGACATTTCTTTGGGGTGGGCTCAGGAGGCCGTGGGGGGGGGAGGGAATTGAGGGAGCAAAGGCAGCAAGGCTGGAATGCATGAGTTGTTGGCGAGGGACAGTGAGCGGGCCCCACTCTGTTTCTTACCCCTCCTCCCTCACTCTCGCCCTCAAGTCCCGCCACAGAGGCACGCAGCTGGTGCCTTGTCTGCTGCATCAGGGTTCAGGGCTTCGGCTGGTGATGCTGGAATGTCCATTCTGCTGGCTGGTGCGGTTGTCAGGATCTCTGTGGTGGGGCCTGTTGGTATGGCCGTGGCTGCAGGGCTGGGATGGCACTGTCCCGACTTGGTCCAGATCAGAATGCATTGCCTGTGCCCAGATCTCAGGGGTATGCTCCCCCCACCCCCCCTCCTCCCTCTACCCCGCCCAGCAGTTGGAGGGGTGCAAAGGGGTTTGGAAGGGATCTGGTATTGTCGTCATTGTCGGTGCTGCTTCTCCGGGGGCCTACCGGCCCCTCACTGACCTTGGCAAATGCTCCTCTGGCGAGAGAGCACAGGGGACCCCCCATTCCTGCGCGGCACTGGCTCCCATGCTGGCCGAGAAGCACAGGAGCACCTGGTGACAAGGCCGCCCAGGGCTGGGGGCTGGGGCCTCAGTTGGGGGCTCGCTGCCGGCGCTCTCCCAGCACCTGCCGCCCGGTCCTCGACACCGTGTACGCCAGCTTCTGCAGGGAGTACCTGAACACCTGCAGCGAGAGACCCGGGACCTGCCCTTAGAGGCAGGCACCCGCAGCGAGTCTGCAGCGCTGCCGTGCCCGCCCCCACCCCACCCCCTGCCCCGCCTGCCGGTCGGACTTAGAGAGGCAGGCGCGGGCGCAGCTTGTCCACGAGTCAGGGCAGCTGGAGCTTTTCCAACTGTGCTGAAGGCTGCATGGCAGCAAGCTGATTGGACCCACAACTTAGGTATACCTCACTTCTCGCAATGGGCTGTGTCCCTGGAGGATTTCGAAAAGCGAATCCTACCCAGTAAATGCAGCATTCCAGGAACACCTTGAAGGAAATATGCGATTCCTTTGGCAAAGGATTCCTTTAGCAGGGAATTCTTCCTGCAAGGGGTGCTTTTAGGGCAAATGATCTCATGGGCAAAGTGCTTTCTTCTGATTTATTTTTACAAAGCACTCTGTCTCTATTTGATTTTTTTTTAACAAAGCGAATTGTCAAAATTGGAAGCGCTTTTTTTCTCTCCCATTTTTCCTGCAAAGAACCTTCTCTAATTGTTTGCTTCAAAGCGCTTTTTATCCGATTCATTTTTTTTCTTTTAGCTCCTTTGTCTAATTTTTTCTGCAATGCGCTTTTTATCTAATGCATTTTTTTCTGCCAAGTGCTTTTGCCTGATTTATTTTTCCTGCAATGCGCATTTTCTCTAATTCATTTTTTTTCCCGCAAATTACTTTTCTCTTAATTCGTTGTGGGTTTTTATGAAGTGCTTTTTTTTTCCTGAGAAGTGCCTTTTTCTAACTTATTTTTGGTTCCACCTTCGCAAGCGCTATATATATATATATATATATATATATATATTGTTTTAAAGAAATTTCCCCGCAATGCGCAGTTTTTTAAGGCAGAAAATTTTGCTATGCGAGCGTAAAGTCTCTTCGCAAAACAGAAGTGCCCCGCCTCCCTCCTGGGGTAGAGTCTGGGGTGTAGCGGGTTTTTCTTACCGCGTTGGTCGCTAAGAGCCTCGGCGATCGTCAGCGGCTGGCGCCCGCCGCGCCCCAACTCTTTGTTCCCGGCTGGGCGCGGGCGCACTGGGAAGGGTCTGCGCGAGGAGGAGGGCGCAGGGAACGCGCGGGGGCACGCGGTGCCGACCGCGGCACTCGGGCAAGCAGGGATCGCGGCAATAAGGATAGGAAGGGTCTGGGAGGCGGCAATTGCGACGTGGGCCTGCCGGTTAAGGGGGCGCGCATTGGGACCCCTCGCCCACCCGGAACCTGGGCACACTTACCTGCAGCAGCACGCGGAAAATGTACCAGCCGATGATGAGCAGCTCAGCTGAGGCTGCCGCCACTGCCGCCATGGTTCCAAGAGTGGTGGGTGAGTGGTTGAGAGCGTGCGTGGTTCGGCAAGGTCCGCCGATCTCTCGGAGTCCGCTGTTGGGCGCACTGCCGCAGCCGCGGTGGCCGCGCCTTAAGTATCCGCCCGCCAGCCAAGTGCGCATGCGCGTTTGGGGGTGTCCATTGAGGAGGGGTGGCCGGGGGCGCTCCTCATTCGCCAGCAGAGGAAAAAATAATCCATCTGCTCTTTCCACACCGACCCCCGCCTCCTGAGTTCCATCTTAGCCCCTTTCCAGAAGATTCCGCTGTGCCCGCTTTTGAATTTTAGTGTAAAATGGAGGGGAACTGCAACTCTTGAGTAGAGCAAAGGGCTGGAGTAGGGGGTGCACGCCTTTTGGCACGGAACTCCTCGGAGCTGTGGCCTGCAAATTCGAGCCCAGTGTCCAGTGGCACACCAGGACCCCACCTTGGGCACGGGTGGAAAACCAGGAAAACCTAACTTAGGGATCATCTGCCCCGCAGAGCAAAAAAAAAAAAAGTGCCCCTTACCGGAGCCTTGGCTTCATAGGCCCCTGGTCAGTACTCTCACTCTGGTATTTGATGTGCTGTAAGCCCGTGTCCTCTGCTTCCCGAGAGTCCCTGAGCACGGAACTTTTCTCTGATTCTTTGCCTCCCGCTTACGGTTACTACCACGGCGACGGTAGAAAGGAACAGAGCCAGGGCACCGTGCTCTAGGCGCAAAAGTGGTAGTCACCGGGTATCCACCCTGTGGGAGGAATGCGGGAGGGATTGGCCCCTTTGTGTGCGCGGAAAGGATGGGATGAGCTTTCCAAGAAGTCGGAAAATGGTCCAGGATCATTTCTGCTGGACAGGTCTTTTCAACCTCTCTCTCCTGCTCCCCTCCCCCCAGGCCCTGGTAGGTCTTAACGCAGTCAGCGAGGTTCTTTGTACCCGTTGCACTGGGCAGCTGGAGCTTGGAATGGGGTTTTGCTACCGCCACCAGAGGGTTGTGGCTGCCGCAGGTCCATTTCCAGGCACAGCGGGGAAGACCGGAACGCGGTCCGCGAGCTCAGCCCCAGCGCACTGGTGGCCCGCCACTGGAGAGCGCCTCCCCAGCAAGCTTCCTAGCACAGGGGCCAAATGGCATTTGCCCCTATGTGGATAGAAAATTAATTTTGATTAAAAGCTCACAGAGGTCAGGTTCTATACAGTGCCAGCAGCAGATGGAAAGTGTAAGTGATCCAAGTGAGGTCAGTTTGGTTGAAGTGGCATGGTGATTTTTTTTTTTCCTACATTGGCTTTTGAAGAAGCTGGCTGGTTTTGGCAAAATGATGCTGGGCTGCCATTCTAAAAGAAAATATTTGGTAGTGCTGCCACCGCCGCCTCGCAGAGCATGCAAGGATCCATTGCCTGCGGGCTCCAGTTGGCAGTGCAGTGCTTTAACTCTCCCCTGAGCACCTGCTGTGACATTATAGATACAGAACCAAACCCTGTTCTTATTTTGTGGGGGCACAGCACGGAGCCCATGGCCATTGGGGGGCAACCACAGGGCGGTATTGTGAGGTCTGGGCCCCTTGAGGACGGGCTGCAGCCCCAGGAGGCGATACATGATCTCTGCTGGGCAGGGCCCAGGCAAAGCCAGTCCACTGTGCCAGACCTGCCCGAAGAGCCCTCTGGCCCAACTCCCTGACAAGCCCGGGGGAGATAACCCAAGAGCTTCCTGAAATGGTGATGTGGAGAGGAGTAGACTTCCATGGGTGGGCAGGGAGGAAAGGGCATTCACATTTGCTGTTGTTAACCATGATCCATTTTCCCAAATAAGTATACATTCTGTTCCTGTTTTTTTTTTTTTGTCTGTCTGTCTGTCTGTCTGTCTGTTTTTTGTCTGTTTGTCTGTTGTGTTGACTTTTCTCTTCAGGATCCGTGCTGCCTTGGTGATCCCGGGCTGACAGCCAGAGAGCACAGCGGCTCAGCTCCTGGAGAGTGAGGGTTGAAGAAAGCGGAGGGCAGCTGCCTGCGCCCCCTGGCTCCCATTAGGTCGGTTCCTGCAGCGGTGCCCGGTGGCCTTGGTGAAGGCCCTGCCCAGCAGAGATCATGTATTGCCTCCAGTGGCTGCTGCCCGTCCTTCTCATCCCCAAGCCCCTCAACCCCGCCCTGTGGTTCAGCCACTCCATGTTCATGGGCTTTTACCTGCTCAGCTTCCTCCTGGAGCGGAAGCCTTGCACAATCTGTGCCTTGGTTTTCCTGGCAGCCCTGTTCCTCATCTGCTATAGCTGCTGGGGAAACTGTTTCCTGTACCACTGCTCTGATTCCCCGCTTCCGGAATCGGCGCACGACCCCGGCGTTGTGGGCACCTAACAGCCTGCCCAGTTAGCTTTCCAAGGAAGCAGAAGATGGGAGGGGAGGCATTGACATAGGTCATAAAGCATTGGAGTTTCAAATCCCGCAGCCCCGCGGGTGCCACATTCCTGACGGCGCCTTTCTTGGCCTGTGATGTTTTATCCTTATAATGTGAATAATGGCACTGACCGGTGCTTTTATTGTAGAGTCCTATAGTCGTGGGTGGTCTTGTGATTGTGTGTGTTCTGTCCCCATCTCGGTCCCCCCACCCCTCCCACAGGCTGGCAGGATGGTCACTCCCCTCGCCTCATTCCTGCGAGGAGTCTGCGCCCATCCTGGTACACCGTCCCAGCATGACCTGGGCAGATAAGATGCCAGTCTCGTCACTTCTGTGACCCCTCCTTGTCAGGGTCTCTTACCGTACCAGAATGTTACCATCCCCTCAGTCCCTGTCCTGGTTTCCCTTTAGTTCTCTCCTACCCCTTTCCTTTTTGGGGGAGCACCTGTCCAAGACAGGGCTCATTTTTGCACTTATCTCGAATTTAAAGAGATTGCTGACGCCCGAGAGCCTCGCTTTTTCATCCTTCTTTCCCTGGTCAGCAGCCCAGACAGAAACGTGTCTTGACTGTTTGTTGTCCACAAATCTGCAGTATTTTCTCCACTTCATTTTTAAGAAAGAAGTAACATATCTGTTGCTCTTTCACCTGAGTGTCTGGGCTCACGCTTACCAGCCCAGCCTCACTTTCTTTGCCCTTCCTCCTGCCTTTCTCAATTGTCCCCAGGAGGGGGGGCCTCACCGTGTCTCCTGTGCATGCTCTGCAGGATTGAGGTGTGGTGTGTTCATGTAGATGTAGCAGTCCCAGAGTGAATGGAAGAGTACTCGGAAGAGTTTCATAACAGCCATGATCCCCTTGATAGGTGTTTGGATATTTTTGGTGTGCCGTGAGTGTGTGTGTGTGTGTGTGTGTGTGTGTGTGTGTGTGTGTATACAAATATATGTGTATATTCCTTTTAAAGAAGCTTTATCAAACGTGTTCTGATTTTGAGGTTTAGCAATAGCTAGCTATAGTAGGTGCTGCTACAGTTTTTATTTAGCATGGGGATTGCAGGGTGACCAGCTCACTGGACTCCGTGGTGGTTCAGACAAGACAGAGGGGAGCAGTGGCCATCGTCCTTGTGCCAGGAGTTCCTTCAGTCCTGCGCATATAGACTGTACGTTATGAAGAATACACAGGAAGACTTTGTGACTGTCACTCGCTTTTTGCTTCTTCTGCGCTTCAGTAACAAGTGTTGGCAAATGAGACTTTCTCCTGGCCCCTGCCCACTGGGGACCAGCAATGGTTGTCCGTCCAGTCTCAGTCACCCATCTTTCTCTTGCCTGAGTGGGAAGGGCGGTGGGCCAGGCAGAGGACAGAACTGGAGGCAGTCCATCTAGGGAATGGGACCGTGAGGCCACACTTGTGGAACATTTGGACTGCTATTCTGGAGCTTTTATTTTCGGTGTGTTCGTTGCACAGCTGTTTGAAATGTTTAATAAAGCTTTATAAACTTTACTTTGTGGTTTTATGTGGCTGCAGTCCATTTGGGTTGTGGTGTTGGATTTCTGAGTTGGTATGGGGCAGGGGGTAGCATGGAGGGGCTGAGTCCTTGGCGCCAGAGTACCTTAGCCCGAAAATTTGATCTGTTCTCTGGAGAGCAGATGGTGGGGTTGGGGGAGGGGAGGAGGGGGCAGGCCAGGCGGTGAACAGGAGGGAGTCTGAAAGTTTTTAGAGATGAGACATTTGTGTTTCTCAGCTCCCATGGCCTCTCGCCTGAAACTGTTTCCCTCCATAGGAGAGTTGAGTAACCGATCCCTTGACAAACAACTTAGGACAGCTGGAGCTCTAATCATCAAGGATTTTTATGGTGCTGCTTTTGAAGTAAAAATAAAGTGAAACCCCTTATGGCATTTCAAGTGGAAAAATAAATAAGAGTGGCCTCCAACCAGGGGGCTTAAGGTGATGGCTGGAAGTGCCAGAGTGTGGCGGGTCCCTGTTGTTGATGGGCACGTGCTCCTGTGGCTCTGACCTTTGAGACAAAGCAGGTAGCTTGTCAGGGACCTGGGCTGGGTGTCCACCTCTCAGTCTCTTTTCCTTCGAGAAAACCTAACTGGAATACTGCTCTCCAAAGCACAGTGCTGTTATAAGGGTTTCTGGAGATAACAGTTGCAAAAGGGCTTTGGTAATTTCATAGAAGGTCACATGTCTTATCTTGATTTTTAATTTATTGCCGTAAAGTTTTGTGTTATTTTCTCCTGCCCCTTTTAAATCTCCCCATTGTCAGTTTGTCCCCTTTCTCATTCCTAGCATTGTTGCTTGTCCATGCTTTCTCTTTCCTTGACCAAAACTTGCCAAGAGTTATCCATTTTAAAGGTATTTTCAAAGAACTGAACTTGTATTGATTATATCTGCTGAGTATTTTCTGCCTGATCTTTTTGTGCTTTTACCTCTGAATTCTTCTTTTCTGGGTTTCTGGATATATTTCGTGGTTCAGCAAAGTCTTGACAAGCTGAAAAGTCCTACCCGTGGAAAGGAGAGTTTATTCAGCAAACATTGAGCCCCTGTACGAGGCTTGCTGGGGATTTCAGGGGCAAGACCCAGGCCTGACCCTCCAGGAGCGCATGATTCTAGCCTAGTGGGGAAGACTTAAGAAAATAGACAATTGCAAATTCCAAAAACAAAACAAGCAAACAAAAAAGGCTTTTGTGGCCCCACTCTCCTGTGGAGGCACCTGGATGATAAATGAAGCCAAGATTATTGTTTATTTTGCTCTCCCTCAGAAAGCAGCTTTCTGTCGTAGGTCAAGCCTGCTTAAGTGTTACAAACAGGCCTCCTTCTGAAAGATGTGTGGCACTTTCCAGCAGGGAGCCCGCAGCCCACTCCCCCCGCCCCCCACAAGGTGACTGCCAAATCAGCATTCCGTCTGCCCCGCAGTGCGCAGTGCGGTGCGGCTTTCCACCTTGACCCTGCCTCCTCTTCCTGAAACACCTTTCAGGAAAGTGAAAAGTAGATACCTCTTCTGGAAAAAAGCAGGGGCACCGGGCCTTAGAAAATCACGCTCTGCAATCCCTCTGGTTGCTGTGGCTTCCAGTATGAGACGGTTGCTCACGGGGTACCTGCTAACCGCAGACCCCACGAGGCCTTGGGCTGGACTTCTGTCAGAACTGGTCTATACCCTGCTCTGGACCTCTGTTTCCTTATAGGTAAAATGTGGTCTTTGGAGCAAACAGTTCCTAGCTCTAAATACTGGGAATCCTTCTTCCTAGGACCTTAAGGTGCTCCTGGATACACCT